TAGGTGGGATATTGGGAAGGAATTCCTGGCTGGGGGGGTGGGGAGGCCCTGGCACAGGTTGCCCAGAGAAGCTGTGGCTGCCCCTGGATCCCTGGAAGTGTCCAAGGCCAGGTTGGAGCAACCTGGGCTAGTGGAAGGTGGCCCTGCCCATGGCACTGGATGAGATTTAAGGTCCCTTCCAACCCATCCTGTGATTCTGTGATTAGAGGGAAGGGTTTTTATAGGAAGTGCCTCCTGTGAGGGACTGACCCCCTGTGCCAGCTGGGGACAAGGTGTTCCCTTCCCTCCCCTTCCCTGTCTGTGCCACCACCTCCCCTCAGGATACAGATGGTTAAGATGGTTCTCTTCCTCCTCCTCCTCCTCCTCTTTCTCTCCTTCCTGCCTCTCCAAGGCAGGACAACAAGGATGACAGCACTTCCTTACTTCCTGAGGATATGGGGCTGGATGCCCATAGTAGTGTCTGTCAGTGCCTTGGGGTAATTTGGGGTTGGAAGAACAAAGTCCTCCCCCAGCTGTCCCACAGCCCTTGGGGTGCCTCATTCCAGGGTCAAACTAGGAGTATTTGAGGTAATTAATGCAACACCTGTTTAAAGTTAGAAGGATATTTAACTTTTCTTCAGCAATTCCAACACAAGCCTCACTTCCCATAATATTATCCAGAGGTCTGATCTTCCTGCTTGTGCTCCAACAGCCCGGGAGGCTCCACAGTTACAACATTCCCAAGGAGTTCCTGCGTTTATCATTCATTTTTGAGGGTTTTTTTGCTGTTATCCAGAATGACTGATGCATTTTTTTTTTCCTCCTAGAAGTGGAAAGCTAAATAACCATTTAGAAGCTGCTATACACGAGGCCATGAGTGAACTAGACAAAATGTCTGGGAATGTAAGTTCCTTTTCCTGTATCCCTGCGCGTGTCCGTGAGGGAGGGTTGGCTTGGGTTGCTTCCTACCCAATTTTGTTTCTATTTCCTTCAATAATGTGGAATTTTCAATGTTTCTCCTGCGTTAAAAGACAGTTTGCAAATGGCAGGTAGTTCTGAAAAGTGGGAAAAGTCGTAGAATTTCAGTTGCATTGCCAGTTTTGTTGCTTTTGACAAGAGATTTCCACCCGGAGCCTGAAAATATTGGGATCAGTTCCAGTCCCACTCCTATTCCAGGGGGTTTCTCTGACTAATGACACAAAATCAGGCTCATTTGTTTCTCAGTTTGAGTAGAAACCACATTTGAAAGGATCATTCTTTGCATGTAAAAGTCTTGGAATAAAGTTTTCCTCACGAGAAATGAAAGATATTGCCATGAAAGGTAAGTTTTAAAAAAGAGTATTTCTAATATCACATCCAACAGTGGTTTTTCTACCATAATTCACTGTTATTATCTCAGTCCAGAATCTTCCTGATATATAATTTAGTTTATATAATGTTCTCATCTTCATATTTAGTTGTAATTTCATTGGAGCCCACGGAAAAATTAAAAAAAAAAAATCTACCACAGCACATGCAAACTCCCAGATCTTATAATTAGTAATTAATTATTCAAATAATTAATTGTAACATGTTTGGAAGTGCGAGTAACACTTCAGGGGAGCTTCTGGAGTATAAAAAAGGAAATATATATATAAGAATATTCTTTTTTCTTTATATGTATTTATATATAATCTATATATTGTATGAATTATATATGTGCATATATAAGAATATAGATATTTTTCTTTGTATATATTTATATATAATGTATATTATATATATAAATGTATATTATATATATATATTCTTTATAGATATAATAATAACTGCAGAACAGAGCTGATTTCAGAGCCACCAAGGAATATTAGATAAGTTTTTCAGTAGCTTTTAGTGGCTGCTCTGGGTAATAACAAAATCAAATATTTTGCTTAAACTTCTGAATTTTACAAACTGGGATTTGAGCTTTGATTTGAAACAGGAGGCATTTCCCTGCTGTCTTGGGAAGGACCAGGAAAGCAGGGTCTGACTGTGGGTCTGTTACAATGAAATCAGGGATGTGGGGTCGGGCTGGACCGTCCTGCTGACACCTTTTCCATGTGTAAATCCAGGAATACTGAAAGCTGCTGTGCATTGCCGCTGCTGGAAGTGGATTTGCTGAGCTGGTGGCTCTGTCACACCAAACTGATGCACCTGAGTGTCAGTGCAGCATCTTGATTTATATTTTAATTATCCGGGCACGGAACTCGTGCTCAGGGTTCATTTCCATAAAGATTACCATTCCTAGAAACACTCCCAGGAATCAGCACTTCTCTTTTTAGTGACTTGCATTTTTTTTCAGCTACTACAGCTCAGGCATCAGTCAGTTTGAGCTGGGAAACGTGTGGGATCCTCAGCTGCAGTGCAGAGGCAGGGAATGTCAGGGGGCTGGAGGAGCTGGGAAGGGCCCAGGAAGTGCCAAAGGATCCATTCCTGCTCTTGGGAAGCTGCAGCTGCTGCCGACAGATGGTGGTGGAATTCCACACCAGGCCCCAGCCTTCCTCCTCCTCCTCTCCCACTTGGTTTCTCCCGATGGAAAACTGTTTTGCTCTCAGATCAGCCCGGCCCTCGGCTCAGAACCGAGTGTTTCCTTTGAAGCACGGGCCGAGGAGTTTGCTGATGATTCCTTAATAACCCCACGGCCCTGGGCTGGGCTGCCCTGGCTTTCCCTGGCAGCAGCATTTTCTCACCACCTGCTTCCCACCTCATGGCTCTTGTCCTGACAGGCTCTCCAGGTTTGCCACTGACAATCTGACAGAATTGCAGTTTGGACATCAGGTCCTGGTTATGTGGTTTCCCAATCACTGCAGCTGGTTTGGGATGTGGCATCAACCCTTTCCTCCCAGCTCCTCAAAATTCCTGAAGTTCCTTTAGTTCAGGCTTCTGTGCAGCTGTGGAATATTGAGCCCTGTTTCCTAACAGCCCTTTAATCAACCCCGTAGCTCATTGACCCCCCTGCCCACTGTCCTTTGCTAACCTGTGAATATACTTATTTTTAGGTCCACCCAATCCCGCAGGGAGACAGACAAGTGAAGCCTCCAAAACTCAAGAGGAGGAAGATCTCTAGATAACATTGAATGTCTTTGTTACTGGTCCAGTACTTGTGAACACTGAGTCCATCTGTAGGTATTGCTCTAGCCTGGTACATCACTATTTATGTGGGGACAGCTCGATGCCAGCGGGGCACACGCCGGGCAGTGGGACAAGATTTGGGATGATCAGGAGAGATAGAAGTTGCTGGAGAAGCCAATCAGAAATCTGGAATGGTTGCAGTAACAATGTCAGATGATTACTGAATTTTTTTTTTTTTTCTATGATACTAAAAATTGTGATTATAAGAAATAGTCCAAATGTTTCTGAGAAATTTTCCTTGTGTATATAGATAATACAGAATTTCCTGGTGATATCTGAACTGTAAATATTGTACAATATTGTCATGTACAAGCGTACCTAATGCACACTTTATCTTTTATTGTACAAAAAATAGTGTACAAAATTCTTTGGTTTCTATTGAGTACACATACAAGAGACTACCAGTGTAAAGTGATAAATAAAAATACAGCCTAAATGCTTTTATATGATAATGTAAAAGATGCTGTTTTTGTATTTAACAGCAGAGAGAAGGCATGATTATGTAATACCTTAATTATGACATCCCCTTCACGCCACTGAGTGTTCATGGATCCTGTCTGTTTGGAATGAACCTTGCCTGGAAGTGCTGTACTCCACTCAGGTCCCTGCAGGAGAGTGCAGATTCCTCATGGGATGTGGGATCGCAGCTCTGATGGAGAATTCCAAGGCCGCAGCCATCGGTTGCTTTTGGTTTCCGTAGCTTTTCCAGTAGGATGCTGTAGGTTGGACTGAAGAGGACAAAGGAACAGTAGGAGGCCTGTTTTAGTCAAGCATTTCTGTAGGTGAGGTTTCAGAGCCCCCTGAGGAACTAACCAGTCGATACATCCCCCCCCCCCATAACATTGACCCCCTGGATTAATTAGCTGAGATTCTCTAACTTCATTAACCCTGCAGGGGGGCAGAGGCCCTGCTTTGAGAAGGGATCAGTGTTGGTTCCAGTTGGTTTGGCAGTAGAATGGAAGGGCAATGCTCTGGAAAAGGTAATCCCGCTATCCATCCCTCGGTATTGAAACACAAAAAGGAGTTAAGGGTGGCTTACAAAACTTATTAGCAGCAGTGATTTCTATCAGTATTATGTAACATATCAGATTTATTTTATTTAAAAAGAATTATTTATACCATTAACAGATTCTTATATATATTAATGTGGCTGAAATGCGCAGGTTAAATCTATTAACCAAATTATTTATGTTATATTAAGTGAGAAATGTGAAACATATGTAGAAAAAAGAAGAAATTAATACACTACAGATTTAAAAGTCTAAAGCTATGAGCCATTATAAACTTAACCAACGGGAGTGTAGCACAACATTCTTTCCATTGGATTTCATTTTTCTTTTTCCCCACGGACGGTGGGGATGGTGAGGGGAGCCGTGGCATCCTCAAGGCTTCCTGGGATAGTTCTGCTCACCATTCCCAGTCCCGGGGTGGAGTCCTTCGTCCGGGATCACCACTTACCTCAGATTCCTTCCCCCCCGCATTCCCGGTGTCGCTCTCTAGCGAGGACTGGCAGCGATCGGCTCCCTGGGGTCTCCAGGGTGCCAGGATCCCAACTCCTTGCTCCTGTCCCAGGTCCCACAGTGCGTGTCCGAAGGAACGACCCCGAGGATGACGATTCCCTGGGCTGGGCTCCCGCGTTCCGGGGCACGCAGCACCTACCTCTGGGCTCCTCCGGGCTCGTCCCCTCCGGCCCGGGCGGGACCCCGTGGGGCAGCTCCATGGCCCTGCTCCGCTGGGTTCCCATTCCCGCTGTTTTGGGGTGCAGTGGCTCCCGTTTTTCCGTCCCGCGTCGCTCCAGTCGCCGGTGTCCCTCGGGCGTGTCCGTGGCTCCCCGAGCCCCCGCTGCCTCCCACCCCATCCCAGAGCTGTGTCCAAGCTCCTGGGAGCGTTTAGGTGTTGTACTTCCCGGTGTTTCCGTGGCCCCGCTTCCTTCCCTCGGTGGATGACGGCACTGCTGGGGGGGCAGGAGTAGTTTGCTTTCAGTCCAGACCGATTTTTTTCTCCTCTCTTGCCGAGTTTTCCTGGTTTCGTGTAAGCAGTTCCTGTAAATATTGTGAGCGTTACAGGTCGTGCAGTGTTGTAACATTTTCAAAAAATGTTGCACCGACTTTACAATTAAAAAAACTGGTCACTCATACTTGAATTTTGCCCATAGAGCCATTTCTTTCTCTTTGCATTAAAGCATAATCTACTTTTTTGATGGAGGCCCAACCCTTCTCTTTCTACCTTATTATTTTTTTGTTTAAGAAATCTCTATTTTTTCTAATAGAAGACTTAAAAAAAAAAGGAAAATTTAAAAAAAAAAAAAGTACTTTTTGCCTACTTTCTAATTTAAGAGAGAATTCCTATATTTAAAAGGTGGAGGGGGGAAAAAAAAGAAAAAAAGAAGAAAAAAAAAAAAAGAAAAAAATATACTCCATTGTGGCAAGTGGAACACCACTTTATTTGTCATTAATATGGCACAATCACCCCAAAGTGAAGTGGCTGAGTACAGCGAGCCCACGGCGTCGGTCAGGACCTCGGTAGATTTTAGGGAACGACGTGATTCCTTGAGGATGTAAAAGTGTTACGTATTCTTGTCTATTTATTTATTTATTTATTATGCTTTCTTTTTGCTGAGTGGGTGACAATGTGGTTGAGTCATTCAGATGACGTTCAAATTAAAGGAAATGATTCCTCTTTCTGTTATGGTGCGTTTTGTGAACACCATAAACGGAACAACAGCGAAAATCTTTTCGTTTATTCCAGTGGATTTTCTTCGTGTTCTGACAGAAAACCTTTGGCTGGTGTCAGCTGCAAAACTAAAATTCACATAGTTGGAAAATTAAAGAAAAAAAAAAGCAAAAAAAAAAACAAAACCAAACCCACCCCACCTCTGATGTCCCAGGTCTGTTTTCCTCACAGTCTAAGGTTTTAGGGGTTAAAAGGAACTTAAAATTTAAAGGTCTTTCCTCAATCAGCTTTGCAGAAGGTTTCTAAGTGATGTGATATCCTTTTGGAGTCCCTGAGTTTGATGGTCTAGAGATATTAGAGGGCTCGTGGTGGACTGAATTACCTTAGGACTGGTACCTTTCTTAGCTACAATTTGTATTTTGCTATGTAGGGTTGTAATGTGAGAATTCCAGAAGAGCCGTAGCATAAAAAGTGCTTTTCTATTTTTAAAAAAAAAGAAAGAAAAAAAAAAACAAAAACAAACCCATTCTAGTCTTACTAAGAATTAGAGGATTTTTTTAATATCAGTTTTGTAATTTTTTGATAAAGTTGTCAATATTATGATTAAATCACCAGAAAAAACAGTTCCTGTGCTGTTCTCTTCGGGGCAGGGACTCCGTGTTCCGATGGCTTTGCACGGTGCCACCGTGGGATGCCCGGCCTTAAACAGGGCACCTCTGCCAGGTTAAATAGCAACCAGCAGTGCTGAGGGCGATTTAGGGGCGTGAAGGCCAAGAGAATCCACAGCTGACACTGCAAATCCCGTAGCTGGGCATTGCCATGGAGGTCCTGGCGGCGGCTGCGGCGTCCGACGGGTAAGTCGAGGGAGCCGGTGGCTGTGGGAGCTCATCCCGGCTCACACGGCACATCCCGGGAACAGACCCACCCAAAACGCCCCCCATCCCACCCCTCACTCCTCTGTTCCCACCAGGCTGAGCTCAACATCCGCATTTCAGGATCCCCCCAAAATCCCCAGGATTTCCAGGAATCCCAAACACGCCAACAGGTCGTTCAGTTCAATATTCCCTGCGAGGAATTCCCCCTCGGTTCACTCCGGGGGCAAATCGATGCTGCAGAAACACTTTGAGGCTTTAAAAAAGTCCTACCCAAAAATAAATTTCTCAGTTCACGAGCTGAGGGGTTTCCATGGACATCCCAGACCAGCCCACCAAGCACTCCTGCCCCATTCCTGGTGTCTCTGGTTATCCTTGTGCTCCCCAGAAATTCCCACCGGCCACCTCCGGTTTAACCTGGACTGGTGATCCCTTATATTTGTGTTTGAAAGCCCAGCAGTGGGAAATCGGACCCCCATGGCTCATTTCTCTGTGCCAGGTTTTACAACTGATCCCTTGGCTGCCAACACTTGAAAGCAATTTTTGTTGTTGCTTTAAAAAAAAAAACCAACAAACTTTAAAATGGAAGATTTGATTCAAAATATCCCCTGCAAAAGATTCCATCTGTCAGGAGAAGTGTTTGGAATTGTCATCCCAACAGAAGGTGAGGGGTTAGGATTTAGAACAGGAAACTAATTATATATATATATATATATATATTTAGAATAGTTCTTTCTGGAAATGCCTATTTTGGAAAAGGTCTGGGAGATGGGAAGGGGTTTGATGTACTTACATGGGATGAAGCGGGGTGGAGAAGGAAGAGCAAGAGCATCCTCACATATTCCTGTGTCCAAATCCCAGGAAAGCACTGGCACAGGTTGACACAAGTCCAAGAGAACCACTGTCACTGGTGTTTCGGAATTCCAGGCAGGAATGGATCCCGATGAGGGAATGCTCCAGGGCTGAGCCGTGGGTTGGGCCCTGCTGGGAACGGAGCTAAACCAGGTACAGAGTGGGATGGGGAACAAAGGCTTTTCCAGCCACATCCAGGTCCATGCTGCAGGTGAGTCCTTTGGGCACTAATAATTCCCTAAATGGAAGAACAAATGGAATAAATAGGGAAGAATAAACACTTTGGATTCAAAAATACACCCAGTTCCTACTCAGCTGGGTTCTGCTTCGCACGTACCCACAGAACGTGCACGGGAGTGTTGCAGAGTTTGCTGTGAGGACCCAACTTTTCAGACAGAAAACAGGTTTATGGGATGGACATGTTCTTAATCCTACTTCACAAGTTCCCATCTCATCAAATCACAATCATTTCAAGCCTCTTTCAAAGAGAAGCAATTCCAAACTCCTGATAGAAACACCGCTCGTTTGCAGTTCCAGGAAAATCATTTCTTGCTCCTCTCGCTGATTTTTCTCCAGGGACAGAAAATGTCGTAAAAATAACACAAAAATTATTGGGGTTTGTCATTATCTTTCTCAGCTGTGGGATTGAGCTCTCTGCTGCTGAGGAAAAAGGGAAGATTCACCCCTGAAAAATCGGGGAACTTTTTTCTTATCCTATCCTCTCCTGTCCTATATCCTATCCTATCCTTTCCTCTATCCTATCCTATCTTATCCTATCCTATCCTATCCTATCCTATCCTTTCCTGTCCTATATCCTATA